AATGCGCAGACAGGGTTGAGAACCACTGTATTTGAAAAGAGCGATTTTGTTCCCAACGCTTTTAATCTTCTCTTTCCAAAACTAATTCTTCCCTTTTACCTCTATTATTATTCATATGACATAATTTCCATATTCCCCCATCATCTTAGTCCCCTGAACATGCTCTGCTTAATTGAAGTTGATCTTTAAATGCTGAACCTAGAAGTTCTCCAGTACTCTGACCAGTGCAGAATAGAGTTATCTTTGTGATTTCCTATTTTTTGCAGATTGAATTGCATTAGTGTTTGAGTAACCATGTGACACTGGTAGCATATGGTGAGCCTATAGTCCACTAAAGCTCTTAACTCCTTTTCACATGAACTCATGCTACACCATGAATCTCCAATTCTGAATGTACAAAGTTGACTTTCTGAATTTACCTTTTTTTTTGTGAGGAAGATCAGCCCTCAGCTAACATCCAGATTTACTTTTATCCCAAATAAATTTCATCTTGTTAGTTTACTTTCATTTGTTCTATCTTATTAATTTTTAAATGAGTCGTAATTCAACTATTCAGTACATTATCCCAGGGCCAGGATTAGGGTGAGGCAAGTAAGGCACTCACCTCAAGGACAAAATTTAAGGGGCACCAATTCAGGAATGGAGACAAATAAATTTTTTTTCAGCTTTATTGAGGTATAATTGACAAGTAAACTTGTAATATATTTAAAGTGTCCACATAAAAAATGGCTAGATATCTTTTTATCAAGAAGGAGGGAGAAAACAGAGGAGGAATAAATAAAAATTCCGTAAGTTTAAAGTGTATAAAGAAAAGAAACTCTTCCAGGTGATGTACTTACAAGCACTTTGGAAAGATTAGTTATATTTTTTAAAGCGAGACACTAACTAGCTTATTTATACATGTCTTTGAGAAGATAATCTAAAGTAATATGTTCATCATAGACCAGCTGTGTCTCCAGCCTGCTTAATAATTAGATAATAGTATAGTCTGATGCCCTTGGGTACTCAGGAACTACATTGGGGTGAGGGGAGTGCTAAGCAGGCAGAGTTCTGGATCTCCTCCTTCTGACTGATTCAGAACAAGTCTGTTTTTTTTTTTTATTTTACCTGTTGGACTTATGCTTAAGATCTGATATAGTCTTAGACACTATGTGCTTTTATATACCTTGAGAATATGGCTAAATAAATTAACCTAGTAACCTGTCTGTGGAAATTTTGGCAACCATGAGCATTCCAGTATACATGAATTGAATGAATACTATATTATCCCTATTGGAGATAATTAGAAAAAGATGGAACTGGAGGTTAAGAATAAGAAAGGAAGGTGATATGAATGGTAAATAGTAATAGAGGTTTCTGAAATAAAACTTTGGGAGAAATAAAATGAATAAATGAAAATAAAGCTTGGTCTTAGAACTGCAAATGCATATGTGTGTGAGGAAAACTGAGAGATCTGGGGAAGCAAGAGATGGGACCCAGGACCCTAGAAGGTGGGGATTGGGGGAGATGGTTGAAGAGTTTCTAGGATAGAAAATGGAAATTAGTCATAAGTACTTATTATTGCTGAAACAAAACTTTGGAATTTTCTGGAATTTGTGAGGAACTAATAGATTCACATTATTGTATTTAATAATACTACAGTGCTGAGGAAATACATATTGAATTAATGAACAGGAAAATATTACATATGTACAAGAAGCTTTGAGAAACCATAAATTTACATTTCAGCACATTTGCGATATTATATTTCGACTAGAATTTTGGAAAACTTTTTTTTACATTAAGCATATGTTTTATTTCAAGTTGGCATGTGGTCACTAATGTAAAGCTTTTAACCTTCATTTTATACAAGAGCTGTGAAGTAACGGGGGAACTAATAACAAAAACCTTGATCTGAATCCAGTCTTCTCCACTTCAGTGAATGGTAATTCCATTCTTCCAGATGCTCATCCAATTAGTCAAGAAATCCCTTCAGCTCCTCTTTTGAACTATATTTTTAGTTCAATTGCTTCTAATCACCTGAGCTATTGTCTAGGTCAAGTCACCAGCATCTCTTATCTGGCCTACTGCACTGGCTGATCTTGCTTGCACCCTTGCCCCATCTGCAGCCTCTTCTCCATTTGGGAGCGAGAGTGATTCTTTAAAAAAAAAAAAGTCATCAGATCATGTAAGTCTTGCTCCTAGGTTTCCCATTTTACTAAATAAAATCTAGACAAAATACCACAAACCTAAGGATCTCATGTGATCTTGGCCCCTGGCTAGTCCTCTGACCTTATTTCTCTTTATTCTTCTCTTACGTCCTGTGTTCTGGCTACATTAGCCTCCTCATTTTTCCTCACACACACCAGGCATCTTGTTACACTTTTGCACTTGCTATAATTCTCTCTTCCTATGTGCTGTTCCGCTGGATATCCATAGTTCATTTTGTCATCTCCCTTAAACCTTTGCTCAAATATCACCTTAATAAACAGGCTTTCCCAGACCACCCTACATAAAATAGCACTTGCTTCCATCTGTCACAGTCTCTTGCCTCATCCTGGTTCATTGTCTTTAGAGCCCTTACTACCTGGCGTGTAGTATTTATTTGTTTGTCTCTCTCAGTAGAATATAGTTCCATGAGGGAAAGGTTTTGTTTTGTTTTGCTGCTGTTGTGCATTGCCATATCCTTAGCACCTAGAATAGTGCCTGGCATATAGTAGGTCCTCAATAAATATTTGTTGAATGGATGAATTTTTTTTTTTTTTTCCGGTGAGGAGATCAGCCCTGTGCTAACATCTGCCAATCCTCCTCTTTTTTTGCTGAGGAAGACTGGCCCTGGGCTAACATCCGTGCCCATCTTCCTCCACTTTATATGGGAGGCCACCACAGCATGGCTTGACAAGCAGTGCGTCGGTGCACGCCCAGGATCCAAACCAGTGAACACCGGGCCACTGCAGCGGAGCTCTCGCACTTAACCACTTGCGCCACCGGGCCAGCCCCTGAATGAATGACTCTTAAGTGTATCCTTTGAAAGGAACACTTTTATAGAAAAGATGTCCACCAGATGGCATTGCTTTCAAACTTTATGTAATTAATGTCTGGGAGCAAAAGATAAGTCTTTTCTGTTGTTTGTTCTAACCAGAAAAGATCTTTGTAATGAAGATTGTCACAGGAAATTGCTATGATTAATCTGAGGCATATAGAATACTATATTTATATTTGATTTATATATTTTTAGATATCTTTTCTAAAATAGAAAACATTTGGAGAAACTTATAGGAAATTATAGGGTGTTGGTATGTAAATACCATTTGGTACAGTTATTTAACATAGTGACTGTGACTAAAGTTAGTTCATGTCTATAGATTGACCTCCTTCCTTCTGAGGGGCCTTAATGGGATGAGAGAGCAGTAATAAGTTCCAGAGCCTTTCACCACTCAGGCCACTAGTTGAAATCCAGCCTAGTGTTGGAGGAAGAAAATCATTATTTTCTGTCAGCTGTTCAGTTGTTGCCAGTGAGTTAGGTACTCTCAATCTGGTTCCTAATCAACTGAGTGTCCAAATTTTGAAAAACTTCATGTTTCTGGCAGATGTTGCCATACCTAGCCTACTAAAAGTCAGTGGGTTCCAAGTGTCAGAACTTTTTAGCTGACTTTTCTGACTAGCACTAAACTCAGCAAATAGTTGCTCTAATCAAGAAATTTACACATTTTCCCCAAACCTTCAAAATCTGCCTGTTCTGCCTTTGCCAATGTCATCTCATTTCTGCTTGCTTTCATCACTTACCTCATTTCCTCCTTTTTTTCAATCCCTATTCCTTTCTCAAGCACTTCTCCTGAATGGTCATTGGATCCATTTTATTCTCACTCTTTACATATCTTTACTCCTAAAGTAATTTTTCTTTTCCTGTTCAACCAAATGATGCCTTTTCTTTTCAGATTGTTTGAAATATACTTTAAAAAAGTTATTGACTAGTTTTCTTTTATTTCTTGCTTTTCCTGTTTTAGATTTTTCTCTTTCATTTCTGATTATCGCATATGCGAGGAACTTATTTTGTTTATATCTTTAAAGTTCTCAGCCTCTTCTTGGAACTCATTGACTATCTAGAAATGAAATCACTGTTCTTTTGTGTCTTTGAATGGAATGTAAAATATAGGATGGTTTTAGTGTTTACAGTCCTTCCTTCCAGTCCCGCTTGGATGGTTAATTACTGGGATGATAAAGTATCTTTTTAAATAGGAGACAGTTAGACTCAAAGATTTAGATTTTTACATTTTTAACCAGAAATACTTGAAATTTCTAGTACTGCTCTCCATGTCTTATACTATTAATCATGATAGTTGCCTCTGTTTTAACTTGTTGCTCTCCTACACTTAGCCTACCCCATGTATTAGATCTAGCTTTGAGGTCAGCATTCAGTGTTTAGAAAACCATTTTTTGTTTACTCAGGAAATATTGGACACCATCCGTTTGTTTAGAAAATAATTTCCTGTTTACCAAGGAACTATTGGATAGGATTTTGTATATATTAAGTTTTAATTCAGAAAGCATATTTTTATGGCCTGAGACATGGAGACTTACTGATATCTGATTATTAGCATGATAATATTCTATATTTGTTCAAATATATTTCTTTCATTCACGAAAATGAAGCATTTTTCTTATTTACTAAACATATCTTACAGCTGCTAGTCAAATTATCATTTATAAAAAAACATATATATTCCCAGAAAATAAACCTCAGAGACATTGTTGCTTGCTCAACATTAGATGAGATCTAAAAGACCTTGCTGGTCTCACGCTCTGACTGCTAACCTCTCTCACTGCTTATAAAGGAAGCAGCTTACATTCCAAAATTGTATATTAAGCCGTTTTGTTTATACCTGCTCTATTGATAAGGCTTTTTGTTCTAGAGTTACTTGTGGCTTATGAGTTTCTTAAGTAAAATTCATTAGAGGTTCAGCAATGTGGCCTTAAATATCATTGACTATTTTCGCTTGTGCTGTTTTTTTTCCCCACAGACTGGTTGAGATAGCAGAGTCTCGTTTTCCCGGATATTTTAATAATGAGGACAAATTACTTTTGACAAGCAGTAAAGTTCATCTTTATCGGGAGCTCAGCTGTGATGAAGTTCTACAAAGGTACACCATTTTAGATTTTGGTATTTTAGTAATACTTTGAAGATTTATTTTTTGTTTTTCATATTTTCAGCTTCTGAGTGAAAAAACATTCCTACATATTAGGATTATGGGAAATAATTATTTCACTGTTCTTCTTTACTTACGATAGCCTATTGGTTGAAATATTTCTTTAAAAACGAAAAACGTAGGGGCCACCAGGTGGCGTAGTGGTTAAGTTCATGTGCTCCTCTTTGGCGGCCTAGGGTTCAAAGGTTCTGATCCCAGGCGCGGACCTATGCACCGCTCATCAAGCCATGCTGTCGTGGTGTCCCACGTACAAAGTGGAGGAAGATGGGCACAGATGTTAGCTCATGGCCGATCTTCCTCACCAAAAAAGAAAAAAATTAAATGAATAAAATGTGTTAAATTTAATTAACTAAGTGGTGTATTAATTATCTATTAATTACCCCGAAGTTTAGCAGCTTAAAACAGCAAACATATATTATCTCACATAGTTTTTGAGGGTTAGGTGTCTGGGAGTGGCTTAGCTGGGTGTTTCTGGATCGGGGTTGCTCAAGAGTTTACAGTCGAGGTGTTGGCCAGTCACCTCAAGGCTCAATTGGGGCTGGAGAATCTTAGAGAATTTCAAGGTCACTCATGTAGTTGCTGAAAGGCCTCCCTTTTTTCCTGGATGTTCCTCACCGTGAGGGCCTCTCCACAGGGCTACTTATAACGTGGCAACTTACCTCCCCCAGAATGAGTGACCTGAGAGAGTGGGCAGGTAAGAGAGAGCCCAAGATGGAAGCTGTATCTTTTATAAACTACTCTCAGAAATGATGTACCATCATTCCCTGGTACAGCATGGGAGGGGACTCAACAGGGGTGTGAATACCAGGAGGTGGGAGCAAATGGGAGCCATTTTGGAGACTGGCTACCACAAGTAGGTTTACTCTAAAATTGGAGCTTTAGCAGTATCATAGGAGAACCAAGGCATGAAACTAAATGAAAACATTTTGGTCTATTTCCAAAAGAGTGTAATATGTATAGAAGAGCTGAAAGTAAGTTATGTTTATTGCATACTTGCAATCATTACTGTAACTTAGGGAAGAACAATTTGTTGTTGTTGTTTTAAGTTGGTTAACCTTTGCAATGCCCTATTTTTTTATATCTTAAATTTATCCACTATTTTATAAATTCTGCTTTTACAGGATTGAATCCTTAGAAGAAGAAATTATTTCGAAAGGAGTTAAACTTGTGATTATTGACTCCATTGCTTCTGTGGTAAGAAAGGAGTTTGATACACAGCTTCAGGGCAACATGAGAGAAAGGAACAAGCTCTTGGCAAGAGAAGCAGCTTCCTTGAAGTATTTGGCTGAAGAATTTTCAATCCCAGTAAGTTTTTCTTTTTCTCTCTTTTTCTTCTTTTCCTTTCTTTCTTTTATAGTAAGTTCACTGACTCATAATATCAAGTAATATAATTAGAAGGAAATGTAAAACAGATAACTTTTTAAAGATAGCACAGTCTAATTGTTATAGCAGATATCACCATCTTCTTAAATTTGTTCATTTTTTTGAGATTATTTTATCTTTTTCACAATTTGAGCCTGGAGCAGATTTAAATGTTGTTTTTAAAAGTTCCTAAAGTCACTCCTTTTCTTTGTTCTCATTGTTTACTCTTTGCACATGTTTTCTATTACTTTTGTCACACTGAGATAAATATTAAGTGTGAAAACTCCATGAAATTGCCTAGGTCTATTTCTATACGTTTTTTTTTTTTCTTTTTATGGCAGTAGATGTCAGTTTTGTAAGTATTTTAGGTTTAGATATTATGTTACTGTGTTCAGTGCTGTTTGTACACTGTAGGATTTGGTTTGCTTCAAATGGCTAGAGGTTGACTATTACGGTGTGTTTGAGAGAGAGTAATGAAAGTGTCAGTAAGGAACTCTTGAAAGATTACTGTTGGCGTGACGTTCAGTAGTGGGAATTATGATCGGGAGATATGAAGATGAGGGTATATTGCAAGGGTTTGTGGTGGGTAAGTTATAAAACATATGTGTGCTAAGTTACATTCCCTTTAGCAGTGTGTGGGAGAGTTCTGCTTGTTTTGCAGCCTCACCAACATTTAGTATTGTCAGGCTTTTCAATTTATCCATGCATCATCTCAACCGAAGATAAGGGAATTCCTTAAACTGAGATAAAATTTAGTTAAGATTTTATAATGTTTAGATTTGTATATGGAAGATTAAAATCTTGGATCCTGTTAACATAAAGAATATGGACCAGTACTGTAAACTACTACATAGCCTTTGAGATTTTAGACCCAAGCAAGCAGTGAAGGGAGAACAAGTGGCATACAAAAAGTTCTACAAATTTTAATGGCTTTGTAATTCATATTTTGGATTATATGATGTAATTCCTGGTGAAGTCAAGTGCTGTAAAGTTTATCCTGGGTGATGCTCATCTTTAAATTTTATTGTAGTTGCTTAAAATGATAAATTTAAATCCTTGTTTTCCCTGGTCATGGAGAATTTAAAAATATTTTATGGAGTTACTTGATTGAGTGGAAAAGTTAGTATATATGCTTATTTTATTAATTCATACTGTTGCTTGACTTAATCCTGTATAAAATATGAAAATTCACTTTTTAAAAATTGTATTTGCTTTTAAATAGTAGTTGTAGGCTAATGCTTTTCAGTTTTTTCTGAGCTGATTTATTTTCCTGAGTGAAAAAGGGGCTCTGCTTTTCTTTGTTTTAATAGAACGCTCTGAAAGAATAGTTACTTAAGTGTCCCTATATCTCCCTATCTTTACCTTTGTTTTTCTGTTTAGAGATAAATGCAGAATATGTACTTAACTTACACAGCATAGTGTGGTATTGATTTTTGTGACAAGTAAGTATTGGTTTTAGAAGGCTTTTGAAAAATACTTCCTTTAGGAGGGGTCAGAATTTTCCCAGCTTAATTACCTTATTTAAATGGAAAATCATAGATTTTTAAGCTTTTATACTATACTTTGACTAGGTGGCTTCATATTGAGCTAAGTGTTTTAAAAAGTATGTTGTTGTCTGCTTCATTATACCTTTCAAATTAGCAGACCTTATGCCTCCTTGTAGTTTCTTAAACATATCAACAAACATTCTGCCTCAGGAAGTGTTTGCTATTCCTCAGCCTGGAATATTCCTCCTCAAAACATCCGTATGATGTATTCTTTCCTGTCACCTTATTAGTGAGGACTTCCCTGACCATGTAAGTGTTAACTACACTCCCTGCCTCCTCCTGTCTCTTACTATGCTTTAAGTTTCTCCATCACAGTTTTCATTCTCTAATGTGTTATGGCATGTTTATGTTTATTGCTTGTGTCCCCTCCACCCCATAGAGTGGTTATGGGGACTCTGTCTACTCTGCTCACTGCTTTATTCTCAGTGCCGGGAATAGTGCCTAACACATAGTAGGCACTCAGTACATATTTTTGAATGTATGAATTGCAGATACTGCTTTTCATCTTGGACTTGAGTTAATTTTATATATATTGGTACTGAACTTAAATTTTAATATTTGTTTGTAACCTTATTTTGATCCTATCTTAATATTGTGTATTATTTCTAATAGTAATAAAATATAATTTTAGATGGCGAGATGTCTTATCATATAGGAGCTATTCTCAGATTATGTTGGTATCTTGTAGGAAGAAAAAGAATTCTTAAACTTGGAAAAGGCTTTAGAGATCTAGATATAGTTATCAGAGAGCTAGGAAGTAGAAGAGATTCTATCTCAGTTTAGTAAACTATGATGAGTGAATGTCTGGTGGCCTCTGAGGTTTGGGCGGGAAACTAAGCATTCCTGTGGATTCCTGGCTGTGGATCTGAGATGGTGGATAGGGCCAGGACCATGCCTGGCATTTCGACACACTCTAGATAGTTTTTCATTCAAATAAGAGTAAAGAGTAAACCCAATTTGAGTGATGGAATGAGTACTTTATTGAATTTTAAAATTTCCCTACAGTGAACATGCAATGCTTTTAAAATATAGAGAAAAAGCTTAAAAATATAATTTGTACTTGATTTTTATTGTCGTATTATATGTATGTTTGTATACATATGAATGTTTGTATGCAAGCATGTCTGTGTGCATGGAGATTTCAACTTCCTGTCTCAGTAATTGATAGAACTAATAGATAAGAAAGTCAGAAGACCTGAATAACATGATCAACCAATTTGATCTAATGGACATTTACAAAACATTTCACTCAATGCCTGCAGGATATGCATTCCTGTCAAGTAAACATGAGATATTTGCCAAGATAGACCATATTCTGGGCCATAAAATAAACCTCAACAGATTTAAAAGATTGAAATAGTACATAGTATGTTTTTTTGTTGTTGTTGTTTTGTAAGGAAGATTGGCCCTGAGCTAACATCTGTGCCAGTCTTTCTCTACCTTGTATGTGGGTCACCGCCATAGCATGGCTTGATGAGTGGTATAGGTCCATGCCTGAGATCCGAACCCTTAAACCCCAGGCCGCTGAAACAGAGCAGAGTGTGCGAACTCAACCACTGTGCCACCAGGCCAGCCCCCAAAGTACGTTTTTTGACCATAAGAAGATTAAACCAGAAGTCGATAACAGAGACATATGTGGAAAATCCCCAAGTATTTGGAAATTAAACAAAAACTTCTAAATAACTCATAGGTCAAAGAATAAATCATAACAGAACTTGAAAAATATTTTGAAGTAAATAAAAATGAAAATACAACATATCAAAATTTGTGGAATGCAGCTAAATCAGTGCTTAGAGGGAAGTTTATATAATTAAACGCTTATACTAGAAAAGGAGATGTTTCAAATCAATGACCTAAGCTTGTAAAAAACAGAAAAAGAACGAATTAAACCCAAGTAAGCAGAGGGAAGGAAGTAATAAAGATAATAGAAATTAATGAAACTGAAAACAATAGAGAAAAAAGTCAGTGAAATAAAAAGCTGATTCTTTGAAAAGGTCAATAAAATTGATAAAACTCTCCCCAGACTGACTGAGAAAAAAGAGAGAAGAAACAAATCAGCAATATCAGGAATGAAAGAGGTGATACCACTATATATCCTACAGACATTAAATGAATAGTAATGGAATGTTATGAACAACTTTATTGCAGTAAGTTTGATAACTTAGATGAAATGGACAAATTCTTTGAAAGATGCAAACTACCAAAGCTTAGGAGGAAGAAATAGATAACCTGAATAGTCATATATCTGTTAAAGAAATTGAATTTGTAGTTAAAAATCTCTGAAAGAGAAGTCTGGGTTCAAATGGCTTTACTGGTAAAATCTATCAAACATTTAAGGGAGAAATAATATCAATTCTATACAAATCTCCCAGAAAATTTACAGGAAAAGAAAACTACAGACCAATATCCCTCATGAACATAAACACACAAATCCTTAAAAAAATATTAGTAAATTCAATCCAGCAATAAATAGAAAAGATAATACATCATGACCAAGTAGAACTTATTTCAGGAATGTAAGGTTGATTTTGAATGCAACATTAAAGTATAAAATTTACCACATCAACATATTAAAAAAAAAGATCATTTCAGTAGAGGCAGGAAGGAAAAACAATTGACAAAATTCATCACCTATTCATGATGAAAACTCTAAGCAAACCAAGAGTAGAAGGTAACTTTCTCAGCCTGATAAAGGACATCTACAAAAAACTTACAGCTAACATCATACTTAATGGTGAAATACTGAATTCTTTTTCTTTTTTTTTTTGGTGAGGAAGATCAGCCCTCAGCTAACATCCATGCCAATCCTCCTCTTTTCGCTGAGGAAGACTGGCTCTGGGCTAACATCCGTGCCCATCTTCCTCCACTTTATATGGGACACTGTGACAGCATGGCCTGACAAGCAGTGCCTCGGTGCACGGCTGGGATCTGAACCCGGGCTGCCAGCAGCAGAGCGCATGCACTTAACCACTACACCACAGGGCCGGCCCCCCTGAATTCTTTCTTCCTAAGATTGGGAACAAGGCAGATGGCCCACTCTTAGCATTTCTATTTGACAATGTACAGTAGATCCTAGCTCATATAATATGGCAAGAAAAAGAATTTAAGTGCATTCAAATTAGGAAAGAAGAAATAAGCCTATCTTTATTCATAGACAATATCATATTTTTGGTGGAAAATATCAAAGATTCTGCCAAAAAAAAGCGCTACTAGATCTAAGAAGTGATTTTAGCAGGGGTAAGAGTCAATTTTGCAGAATAAGAATCAATATACAGAAATCAGTTGTTTTTTTTTTGGTATGCTAGCAATGAACATTTCAAAATTGAAATAAAAAACCTGTACCATTATAAGAGCATCAAAAACATAAAATGCTTACTGATAAATATAACAAAATAT